CCAAAACGTTCAGCAAACCAACTTCTATTTGACACTTTTTTAAGTGTAAATAGCTCTTTAAAAAGAGCTAGTCTGACATTGTAGCCCCACTGCAAAATCTACTCTCCTGACTGGCCTGGGCTTTGCAAGCTGAGATAGGGAAATTATGTAAGTTTTTCAACGGAAAACTCCCCTGAATTCACTGCTGTATTTGTAAATATGTATTTTTTTCTTATTTTTCCCTTGCATAAAGTGCAAAACTGAAACGATGAGTGATAGAAGACCCAAGAATGTGTCTGGGTGATCCACTTCGCGCGCGTGTTGTCACGCGTGCTTGCCCGTAGCGTGGGGGTTTGCTCCTGACGTCATTCGCTCCCAGTCCTAAATTCCTCTTTGCCACGAAAGCAAGAAGTTATCTGATAAAATGGCAGTTGTCTCTTTCTGGATGAAAACGCGTTTTGTAGAACTACGAGATTGAAACCATGTGATTTGACAAAACGACGAGTCGCTTACCCGTAAACTGGACTTTGGTCCACTCCGTTTGCCGTAATGAGTCGAACTGGTTTGTTATCCCTGGTAGTATGTCTTTCTCTTGTTTATGCCGGTGGCGAATCCAGTCATTCATCAATGACGCCCGAAGAGAAGCACACAATGAGGTTGGTTTACATGTTGATGCTTTTATTCAAGTTTATGTAGTAAGTCTTTTTATCGGACCTCTGTTAAATATTGAAATGGATTCTCTTTTATAGGGACAAGGTTTTGGAGATGTTTCGCCATGCCTACGACTCTTATATGGTAAGTACACATTTCGGGAAACAAGCGTCCTTTGTTAGGCTAACATGAGTAAAGCAATTACGTAAGCGGTCAAGCTTAGTGACGGTTCCTATTATCTCAGTTTTGAAAACAGTAAATGCGTGTATTTATGTTGTTGTGGTGTTTCAAAATTCAATAAACTGGTTGTTGAAATTTTAATACGTAAGGTGAAGTTGTACTGAGGTAAACTAAGACTTACCTGATCTAAAGTTACTGTTTCATTCAGCTTATAAATTCCGAATTTTACAATCTCTTAACAAATGTGTAGGTCCAAAGTAAATGGCATTAGCACTAATAGGTATTGCAATATGTGCAGCCTTTGTTAAGGTCCATGATGATGAAATTCGCAATGTATAATCGTCACAAAGTGTAAAAGGAAGTAAATTTAAGGCCGGCCACCTTTAACCTAATTCTTCAGCATGTTTTGATACTTTAGAGGAGAACATGTATTTGTAAGTGTGTGGATCAAGTGTTAACAGCCCAAAGATGTCTTTTGATATGAAGATCCAGCAATCAGCTGGTTTTTTTCCATATAGCGTAAATTTAGCATTAAGCATTGATCTTGCTGTGAATTGCAATGGTCTTGGTCTTGCTACACAGGTGCAATGTTGTTTAGTTTATGTGGGTTGCATTTCCGTGACATTGTAAAAGTCATATGGAATTATCCTAGCAGTGATGCTCCCAGAACATTACAAAAAAAATGTGGTAAGATAAACTGAGAACAATTTTTCACAGAGAATGTAATTAGCCATCTATGCCATCCTATGAAAGGACTTTGCCAGCATTTTGCACCCTGTGTACAGTAGAGTGGGAATTTTTTGAAAAAAGTGTCTTTGCTAATATGGTTGCTTTTTGGCCTGTTGGCAAAGATGAAAAATGATAGAAGGAAAGTTTTTACTAGCCAGCTGCTTGAATGCTGTGCTATATGTATGGATCAGTCAGACCTATTGTTTAGAAGAACGTGCATGTTTTTGAATTAGTGACAGAACCAGCTGGTGGATCAGTTCAGAAATGGTGAAGCTAATTATTAGTGGCTTGAAAAAATGTAGCTCACTCTGTTACTTTTCTGACAGAGTTCCTTCTACTCCATGGAAATATAGAGAGTTTTTTTTATTATTGAGAAAGGAATATATTGAAGAACATTATGTTGGTGAAGTTGAGACAGCTATATACATAAATAATGATACTCTCCGATCTGCAATTTTTGCTTCCTTTGTATACTTGATAGTGCAGAATCTCTCAAGAAAGCATACAAAATGTTTTTATTTTTTAAAAGAAGACCATTGCAGAAAATGGGTGTATTTGATACTTAGAATACTACCTATTTATGATATTTCAATTTGGTGTTTATTAATGTGGAATGCTATGTGATTTAAAACACTTTTTAGTTTGTGAATAGCGACAACAGGACCTCACTTGGTGTGCTGAATTCCAATGGAGGACTGTTGTTGCCATGTGATCTTGACAGGAAGGTGTTTTTTCAGTTGCAAAATAGTGTAGGCTGTAATAGATATTCTGTCTATATTTTTAAGATATCAGCTGTTAAAAGGAAAATAATCTTATTGTAATCAAGTTACTTTGTTTGCTCACCAGTATGAATAGGTTCTGAACTTACATTTAAAAGGATTTTTAACATTTTGAAGAACTTGAGTTGGCTTGATGGCTAGGACAAAATTATTGTATTCCGAATATACAATTCCTATCAATGCAATACAAATTACTACATTTGCTTGACCAGTCAAACAGGAATTTCGCATTTTCAATACACCATTCACTTGCACTTGATTTACATATAGTTTTGCAAAGTTGATCAATATCTGTTTCACCTTTTTTTTCAAGGCAGGTATTCACTTCTGTAAAAATTTGGGATTTATGATAAATATTTCTGTGATTGAAGTTTTTATGGAGGTAAATTGCCGTGAGTCTTTACAGCACATTAAAAATCATGACAACTTGAACCCCCAATAAGTCAAGGTGCTTTCCATGTTTATTGAGGGTTTGTAGTGATCTGGATTCTTCATAAGTGTTGTTTTTGGTTCCAAAGGAGAACAATTACGTAGCATAAAACTGTCTAGCATTTTAGATGGAAATTTTCTATACTATGTTTGTGATCATGAGGTAGAACATTAATTGTTGGAGGTGAGAAAGAAGCCATAATATCTTTTACTGACAACTCCCCCCAAAAAGCTACTGGTTCTTATACTTAAACACTACCTGTTCCCCACTCCAAAAGTAATTGTTTTGTTTTGATTAAACTAAAAAGTTGAAGATCTTAAAACAATAAAATGGAAAAATTTCAAGACTACA